TGAGTACTATTATTACAATGTAATATCATACGTTCTGTTTATGAAATAATTATACTTTAATTTTTCTCATTAAGCGATTGTTCAATACATGATATATTATTGTAAATGTATAATTGTTGTGGTGGACATAAATTTTATTTAATAATTATAGTTAAGTTCTTGTACAGAGAATATATAATACATGTATAATATATATATTTAACATTTTCTATATTAATTTTCTTTTTTAATATTTCTTATAGATTTAAACAAAAACTGTTGCATATCCACATATTCAAATTATACCAGCAAAACATATACATAATAATGAATGAAAATAAAATGTCAACCGTAATCGCTTTATGTCAGATATTGAAATACATTTCGTTTTTTTTTTTTTGTGGCTATTCCATGAAATTTATGTTGGTTTTTGGTTGATCTAAAAACCAATAATCGCAAATGTACAACTCAGCCAAAATGAACGCACATGTCGACATTAATAAGTCTACATATTAATGTCATGTCATGAGAAAAGCATTTCCAGAACATATTCTGGGCACTTTTGCTTGTGGGTCCATTTTCGAAAAGCATTAGAATTTTACAAAATCATCACTTTAATAATATTTTACTGAATATTTAATGTTAACGTTAATGTGTTCTCATTTACCTGCAATATATATTAAACTCAAGTTGTACAGCGCGTTATAGTTTATTGGTGAGAGCCAAATGGATTTTCTTAATGAGGAAATGGCCTGTAAATTTTCAATACATGTTAAAATTTTTAACGCCATATATGTATAAATTCCCCATATACTTATATGTAAATGTTATATGTGGTAAATTAAATAGAATACTTACTAGAATATATTTTTGTTTCTTGAAGAAACAAAGTCCTATGTTGTTCCACAGCTCAGCATTATCGGGTTCTGTAATAGCGACTTCTCTGTATTTGGATAAGGCACCATCGACATCATTTCGAGACTATAAACATTTGTCGTAAAATTTTTCAGTAAATAAAATTCATGCACACAAATTCCTTTTTTCAAAATATATAATTGTATATAATTGTATTGTATTGTAATTAGTAGTATATCATAGTATACTGTTTTCTTAGAATAAGTATCAATTAATAATTTATTTGTATAATTGATTTGTAGGATTAATGACAGAGGCCTTATACTCATCAAATATACATAGTAAGAAACACGTAACAAGTAATATAATTAATTATAAGCATTCAAAAAGTTGAGCTGTATATATAAATACTTATATATATATCACAATAACATATATATGTATGCAATTTTCTGGAAAAATGTCTAATGCTTACTAGGCTGTTATATTATATCTTTACGAAAAGAAGTATTAAGTAAACTCAGATAAAACTAATTCCGGCAGATAATCGTTTTAATCATAGTCGTATAACTTTTTTTAAGACAAAATTTTAAGGTTGTTATTATTTTATAATTATAATTATAAGGAAGCAGTAGAAATTTAGCTACTATTTCCAAGAATCTATTTCGATTACGAAAAAGGAAAATATACTTATAAACTATTTTAACAGAGGAGAGTTTCAGTGACAACACTTCCCTTTATTGTTCCAAAAAAATTTGAGGTCGAATTATATTAACATACATCAGCTATGTATGAAACATTATACGAGTTCTTAAAAAACGGATTACCAAACCTCACAATTTTTTAGTAAACGGGTGCTCATAAGTATACTCAGAAGTGAAATTAGAGCGAGAGAGAACATGAATTAATAATGAATTGATGGGAGGAATATAAATACCATTTATTATTTTTCAAAATCATACTAATATATAATGCAAGGAGTAGTAGGTCCTACCTATGCACTCGAAAATATATCCATACTTTTGCTTTCAATCACAAATTAATGTTTGTTGTTTCTTGAGCAACGCATTGAGAATGAAATTATATTAAGTCAAATAAAAGTTATATAAAATACAGTTAAGTAGTATGCATGTGTTTCGAATGTACATTGTTGTGTTGCAGTATAATATGTTCACACTATCGGAGTTAATTCTGAAAATATGCAGCAATAAATTTTATGTTTCATACAATATCTGCTAACAAAATTTTAATGATGTTCATTAATTGTTACTTTGAACATTGTATACTATTGAGTTACTCTTTCCTCATTTATTTTACCTATTCATTATATAATGCTTAAAATGAAATCCATACCCGTAGAATCAGCGAGTCTGAAAGGGGATCTATCATGCACGAGTATCCATTAACAGAAAGACATCATATAATATTCACGAGGAATAATATTTAATTTATTATAGTAATATACGTTTTTCGATAAAAGCGCTTTGCCAACTTCCATTGACTGGCTTAAACAAATATAAAGATGACATGGTCTTAATATATACCGAATAAATGTACAACATTTAAGTTCAAAACATTAAGAGAACTCCAAACAATACGAATATCGAAAAAAATATAAGTATTATATTGTATATAATATAATCATATTGATTTATTAGAATTAAAGCGATTTTGAAATATGCACCCTATAAAACCAATCTACTTAAAGGAACCTAGAATATTGGAAAGTAGAAATAGTAGAAGGAAGTAGAGTATAGGAATATGGGAATGTACTATTTGCAATATAAAAAGCATTTAAATTGAATAGTGGTGACTCAAATACTACTATATATTAATAAATAAATTTTCATGGTTTCCATACTATATTAAAGATTAAATTTAATAAAAATAAATTCATTAAATAAAAAATTCTTAACTGCAATTTAATTTAATTCAAAATACATATAAACTCACTTGTAATATAGCACCAAATGCCAGTAAGCCCTTTGAACATTTACCATCGATATTAATAACCTCAAGCAGTCTATCAAAAGCTTTTTGGGTTTCATTTACTTTTAAATAAAGCACACCAATTTCTGTTAAAACTGCAGTATTTTCCGGTGCAATTCTACAAAATAATTTTACTGAAGAATAATTTTCATTACATTAAATGAGTGTATTTGCAGTAAACTTAAAATCTTAATAAATTCTCTAAAGAATTTTTTTTGATAATTTAGTTGACGATGGGAATACTCCAGTTGTCAATTTAATCTTATTCATTTGCGTTTGTGTCATTAGAGTCATTTATTCATTCATAAATTATAATGCACAACGCTAATCAAAAGAACTACTTCCATCCCCACAATAATAATCGTCATTCTAGTCATCACCATCAACATAATTGCGACCACTACTACATACCAGAGAAAAACTAAAGTTGCCATAAGTCATAAACTTACAAAAGGCAATTCTCAAGCACTTCAATTGCTTTGCCGTATTCCTTCTCTTTGCGATAAATTTCTGCAAGCCTTTGAAAACTTTCCAGTTTTTTTCCGCACTGCACAGCTTTCTGAAAGTACATCTTCGCTTCGGCAGCCTCTTGACGTGCCACTTCCAACTGATTACTTGCTGACGATGAACGATGCAGCAAACTACCAATATAATGGTAAATCTCGTGATCTGGCCGGGGTGAAAGTTCTTCGGCCTCACGAAACACATTAAGAGCCTGATTAAAGCGTCCCATAATGAACCTGTAATTGAAAAATATGCGCAGAAATGAACAAAAAATTAAAAAAATGAAGCAAAATTAAAGCGTAGCCTTAATAAAATGAATAAAAGAATACACAAAACGTTGAGTTTAGTGATAAGTTTCAAGCATTTCTCTCTCACTTATTTCACTTTTATGGTAAAGTTAATACAAATTTAATTATAAATTCACGCCACAGATAAAAATCCATAAATGAATTTTTATCGAAAAATATTTCAATGGAAATCTGCGAATAATGGAGAATTAAACGTACAGAATTGTTGGAATATAGTTTAAATTAAATTAAAATTTCAAATATTTATTTTTGTATTATAAATGAATACGCTTATTTTGCAGAATACTTTTAAATTAACAATTTTAAAAATAAGTTGATAGGATCGGAATAAGAAGATAAAGGTTATTGTTTCCAGGTGCTACAACAGCCGTGGACGTCGTTACTTCACTTTTGTGAAGTCTCTTTCATATAACAGAGATAGGGAGAAAATCTGCTGTGTATTGTACATCAAGCGAACAAAGCGTACCTGAATATATTATTCAAAAGTAAATTATAATAAAGTAGACATTTATGTCTTTAATAACATGAACAAGCATAACAGCCGACTCGGGGAGTTCCCAATTTTCAATTTTTAGTTTAACTACAAACCGCTAATGAGTATACTAAGTCTTAAAAATGCATTTATAGTTTATAGTTTATACCGAAAAGAAATAAAATTATTTAAATTTTTGAATAATTTTTTGTATTAATTATATTTTTTATATATTTAGGCCGTGTGCGAGTTCGCGTAAATGGAGGTAAAGTATATTGAAATTTCTTAGGAATTTTTTGAATTACTCTTATGTAAATATTTATTTATTTATTGCACTTATTTATTATTTATTTATTTATTTATTTATTAAACATCTTTTAAAATTTTCACATTGGCAATACCTAATTTACCTAATTTTATTTAATTTACCCTACTTGAAATTCTGGTAAATACCAACATTCGGTGCCGTACCGACATAATTTACTATTTTCCTCAATTTATCACTAATTTACCCAAACTCGCATACGGCCTTAGATAAATTTAAGTATTTTTAGTACATATTTAAGTCGTGTGCGAGTTAGGCTAAGTTCCGTTCTAAATGAGGGAAATTCTAAGTTATGCCGATAATGTAGTGCTGTGTCGATACGTGTTGATAAATGGTTAAATGTGTACAGTGCAAAAAATCTCCCATTTGGTTTAGCATCAACTTAGCCTAACTCGCACACGTTCTTAATAGAAATCTATAATTCTTTTTGGTGTGTCGCGTTTTAATAAAAATCTAATACTAAATTTTGAAATAAGATTCTAGTTGTTATTATATTGTACTCCTTTAATTTCTATTTTTTATAATGGAATAATGTATGAGCAATTATATATGTAATTAGAACAGATTACATATTCAATTATTCAAATTCAATTATTAATTATGTATAATATAATATACATATATTATTACAATTAAACAGATACTTGTATTAAAATTTTAACGAGGTCTCTGTAAGTGAAATTCTGTAATCGGTTGGTAGAATCTATCTATCTAATTCTGATTGTATATAATTTTGGAAATTTCAAAGTTTGCAAATCAATCGAAAAAACAAATCATACAGAAAAAACAGAAAACCGTAAACTAGAGGTACTTAGACTAGTATAAATCCAAATCCAAGTATTACTTACACTTGTAGATCAATTTAAATCATTTATCATTTGTACTAAACTATGCAGATAAAAATGTTTTATTGCGCACAAACACTTAACACTTTCCAATGAAATGGCACTGAAAAGTATGGATCGGAGAGCTAATTCCAATTGTGTATTATATACGAACTATTAAATAACAACCCAATTGGTTATGTGTTAATAACTAACTATCTCCTGCTATAATTTCCAGTGAGTTGCCATCTGAAATCGCCGATTCATTGTTTACGATCGCCGAACAAATTCCGCCTGGTAATAACGACTGGTAATAGCTAGTACATAAATCCGTAATGTTTGTGTGTCAACAACCATTAATATTAATGGGTTTCAAATTACAAGCCTCTATCAACCTTTACCTTCTAATGATATGTCATTTGAAAAGAGCGATCAGAGAAGAAACTCTGATTGATAATTTACAACTATTACACAAAGTTTTATAAAAACCATCTGTGTGTCTGCAACCGTTAATAACAAATTGTTGTCAAATTGATAAATACCATTTAGAAAGGACATTGCCTCTTATATTTTACAATACCATTTAAAAGTCTAACCTTTTAAAGTATAAATCACATTAAGAGACCCTCAAATCTGAGAACACTATTAAAAATGTCCTTTTTGAGTGCGATAAATAAAATTATGTGTGGCAGTGCACAAATGTCGATACATTTAAAAAATACTCACAGTGTCTTGCCGATTTCTTTGTACGTTTCAACATTTCTTGAATTCAGTTCGATAGCCTTCTGAAGATTGTGCATGGCTTCAATATGGTTGCCCTCTTCACGGTCAATTAAACCCTGCGCCGCATTTAGTAAAAGGATGGAAACACAAAAATAAAAGTTTATTTCTATTTTAAGTTAAATTCGATTGAAAGGAAAAAGGCTTAACTTCAAATCTGTTTTGTTTAATTCCCTTTAAGGAGCAAGTTCTGTTATCAAATTGAAATTTACTGAGATTGAAATTAAAACGATTTCAGCTTCACGTTTGACTTACACTCAAATTTGTTGGAAAATTAAATAAATTTCTTAATTAGTTAAAGAAAATGTATGGATTCACCTTCACAAAATACAAGTATTCCGGATTCAGATGTTTGTATAACTCCTGGTCGATAAGCATCTTACATCGCATAAAATCCTTACGGGCGAAATAAATATGCAACAACCAATCAATATTAGAGCCCGCTGACATTTTTGGTACTAAAATATTTAAAAATTTATTAATATTTAATATTAAATACTGAATTCTACAAATTATTGAGTTTCTACGCACTTGTTTTCACAACTTCTAATGATGGTAATACTATTGTCCGACCATTGCACACAATTTCGTCAGCACCTGCCATCAAATGATGAGTAATGGAGTATTTCGAAATCGAGAAATAAATATTCGGCAATTCGACGAAAAATGGAGTAAAATTTATCCAATGCACTTACTTAAATACATTACATTTTTGTTTGTTGTGGAGTCATGTTGCCAACAGTTACGGTTCCATTTCCAAGTAAACAAACTATCATTATCCGTACAAAAAAAATTACAAAAATATCAGTTTACAGAAAAAAATAATTTTTTTGCTATTTTTTCATCAATCATTGAAAAAAATGTCCGCTTTAAAAATTTATTTTATGTGAATCGTAAAACTATCGTAATCGTAAAAATATTTAAACGGCAATATTTATTCTTATTAAACCTTTTCTACGGGTATGTCATATGACAAAGAATGCATTTTAATGAAAGAAATATCACATAAGAAGAAATATAGAAATATCACATAAAAAAATCATAATTTAAAAAATTAAGGATTTAAATTTAAATTTTAAATAAGTGAATTTTTGTCTCGCCATACTTTATTACTTTATATACTTTAGTTATTCTAGGTGTTGCCAAATATTCATCATCAACTTAAGAACTTAATTATTTTTGTGGATTTATGACGGGACTTATAATTGCATTCACCATAAAAAAAAAACTCACTCCACATTCTGTATATATTTTAACACATTGACCTATAAAAAGTAGAATAAAATTTTTTTAATGTAACTTATAGTTTGTGTCTTGTTTTAATATCTTTTACATTAATGAAAGTTTCTTCTTAAACTGCAAAAACAGAAATTTTTTTTCAGAGAAACGACTTAAATATATATATCATGTAAAATTATTAATTATTTTATAATTACACTCCAGTATGATTCCAAACGGCTTCAAGTTTTTTCTTAATCGGAATTCTATAATTAGTTCCCTCAGATTTTCTTCAGTGAATATTTTCATTAAAATTTTTTCATTAAAGCTCTCAATCACGTATTGAAAGAAGAACTAACACAATGTCAATATTTTATTTGGATATTTGGTGATATCAATATTTTTAAATTAGCAATATTATTTATATATATAAGTTTTACTAGTACAACTTAGTTTACTAGTACATTAGTATATATATCTAATTTGTTTAGGGACGTATTCAGGGACTTACTGAAGTGGATCTTTTCAAAGCTAATTTAAACTTCGTATGATGTGATGGAAAATTATTCCAAATTTCTTTGAGGTGGAAAGTGTATATGTGTTTGAATCCAAAAAATCTTCATTATTTTATTATTAAACCTTGTGCGGTGTCATGCTGTGGCTGTAGTTGTTTTTGGTGAACTCTGTGCGAATGTAAATTTTGTTTACCATAGTATGAATCTTCTCCAATTCATTTTTAAACAGTCTCTTTGTCTGTTGTCTTATGGATTACATCGGAGTGCCCGATTTGCAATGTCATTTGCCGGTTTGCGGAGAGTGTGTGCTATCTAGGCAAATTTACGTCTTCGAATATCGACGTTAATGTCACTCACATCTGTCCTTGACCAGAGGTCCTCGTTATAAATGTGGTTAGACCAGAAAATGCTGAGGATTTTGAGAAGACAGCTATTGACAAAGCTGCGTAATTTTTTCTGTACTCGTTCAGTGATGAACCACGTTTTGCATCCATATAGAAGGACTGACAAAGCGCAGAACTTGAATATTGTGACTAGTTTTGATACTGTAACTTTGACGACCATATCTTATTCAATGCAATAAATGTACCAATTCCTTTCTTTATTCTTGCCATTATATTCGTCAGTGTACCTCCGGTGGATGTTACCATACTACATAGGTATTGAAATTCCTAAACATGTTCAATCGTTTAACCGTTGAGTTCTAAAGGTTTATTCGACAATGTCTTTATTCGCATTTCTTCAGGTTTTGCGGTATTTATAACGAGTCCAACTTTGAAAGATTCATGTGCGAGATCGTTGTTTTCTTTGTATATCGACACGTCGGTGGGCCACTTCGCATTTGTCATCTGCATAGTCCAAAGATTTAAGTCTGAATGTTGGGTTCAACGGATTCCAAGTGATTACTCGTGGTTTCTTGTGTGTTGCACGCCTAGCTATGGCATCAATGACAATAATAGAGATTAGTGGCAATATTAGACATCCTTGCCTTACACCAAAGACTGTAGCAAAAGTCACTGATATCTTACTTCCTTGTTTTCGTTCGATAATTCTCTATAATTTTTTTTAAAACTAATACCTAAAAAACTATCTTTGAAGTCAATACGGCTAAGGTATATATTATGACTGATAATTAAGGAGCTTACCTGCCGTAAAAATTTAATACCACGCTGCTCTTATTATATAGATCGGTATAATGCTCCTATCAACAACCTTTTTAAACAAATTTAATTTGTATCCATGGAATCACAACATATAAATATAAGTTACTCTTGGAAAACGAGCGCGACCGAATTCAAGTTCTTTCCGTTTTGTGAAAATCCATCTCCACATTGAATTACTACTTGACGTCTGAAGACTTAAACCAATATTCTTTCAGTGTGAAATATGAATATTGTGGCTACCCGGATGCTGTCGTCACAGACTTACTCCTCTGGTAGAGTGCCACAAGTATCACCCACTTACTAGTAATATGTTCCAATTCAGTTCAGTCTAATGAAAACTTCACCCAAACTTATGCCTAGCTTTTTTTTGCACTTTTAACTTCATATTAACAAAATTTTTGATCATTCTTTAAGAAATCATTGGAGCTGATAAACTGTATTTAGATGATCTCTGAAAATAGTTATAACTTGAATTTACATATTCTATATTTACACATGCTTACATATATATATATACAGAAAAAACTGTTGCATTTATTACTAATGACTAAACTTATGATTTTGTTACTAATACTAAAAAGGTCTTCCGTACTAGTTAATTCATAGAGTTTAGAATATCATGTATATTCAATGTTTATTACATTAATTTAAAAATATTAATTTTTTTAATTTATTAAATTTATTAAATTATTAAATTAAAGTAAACAGTTCTAAAAATTTCATTGTTTTGGTTTAGTAATTTTTTAAAAATTAAATATATTTTAATTTATAGACATTATGTTTTGATATTTCGGGATGGTCCTCTCGTTTTAGTTTATCTCAAATGTGTATATATTTTATAGCAATTTCGAAACTGTATGTCTTTAAACTTAAACAATTTGATTTTTTTATACTCATTTAATTAATTAAATTATGTATTTTCAGTTAAATTTCAGAGATGGCAATGCGCAGACGTCAAACCATACTAAACAGAGCTATTACTCCGGATAAAATTCTACAAAAATTATTAGCAGAACGCGGTGCATCTCCTGAAGAAGATGATGATAATGATGACGTTAGTTTTGTTGATAATAAGCCAAAAGTGTTTATACCAAGACTACGTTTCACCGATGATCAATTAAGGGATATGAAGTATACATTTGAGTTGCTTGACGAAGAATGCAAAGGATTACTTCGCGAAAATCATCTTCGAGTTGCACTACGTGCTTTGGGATTTGAGCCGAAGAAGGATGATATAAAACAAATGATTGCTGTAATAAATGAAGATGGTACTGAACGCATATCATTTAACGATTTTGTAAAATTAATGGAAATGAAAATGGGTGAAAAAGATACTGAAACGGAGTTGCGTAAATCTTTTCGTTTATTTTGTGGTAGTGGAGAAAGTACACTCACCCTTGACGATCTCAAGCGTGTTTCATTCCAATTGAAGGAGAACTTAAATGAAGAGCAGTTAACCGAAATGTTTGAGCATGCTGATGTTGATGGAAATGGCAAAATTAATGAGGACGATTTTGTAAAACTCGTACTGGGTACAGTCTTATATCCTGTATAATGTACGATATTTTATACTTTTATAAAATAAAAAATAATTTCAGAAAAAAGCTTATTTTTTCATTTATATATTAAAAGCATTCGTCACGCTAATTATTGTTAATTATAGTAATGTTACGAGTTTTAATATTGAGTAGCTGACAATATTCTTTTTACTACATTTATGTATAGATTCTAGCCTTTGTAAATAGAATGCTGAAAACCTAATCTCAATAATCAAAGCAAAAGTGAATGTGCTTAACATATATAAATTTTATTCGACATTCCAGTCAAATTGGACAAATTGGCCTAAGAATGAAATGGATCAAGATAGAAACTTTTATAAATCTTTGTTAAGTCATTTTATATTTAAATCAGAAAGCACAAAATATCGGAGGTCTTTTTTTTTTTAAAAAAATTTTTTTTAACAAAAACCATTTTTTTACTATATGTTACTACAAAAATAGTAGGTCATGTTAGATATAGACTCTGTGATCAGTAACTATGAAAACACGGTTGTAAAGTGCGGAAATCGAAGGAGCAGATTGAACCTCAGCGAAGAAAACATTTTTAAAAAATAATTGAGTAGGTTTTTGCCACATATCTAGGATTAAATCAAGAGGAATATTGCCTGTGGGTGGAATGGCAACAAATACTAGGTTGTTGAATACAAGGATGTGGGTTAATCAAAATTGATGCCAGATCGTGGCGATATCCCTGGCAACTAAAAACCTACTGAATTGCTCAGACGCGGCACATAGCTACCAACTAATAAATTTGCATTGTATTGGTCTTCACCTTAGCTACATATAAATTATCTATTTGCTTAGAATACTTTCAAAATATGAACCAAATTTCCACATGACGGACAGTATAGTTAACCAAAAATTAGATTCAAAATACGTAAAAGAATTACTGAATTAGTGTTGAATTACTTCTCACTGTGCAATATATCTGCTTTGTTGACGAATACAGTTTTAAAAGCAGGTCACCGATTGGATAGAGAATGCTTTTAATAAGTGT